GGTTCAAACCCTAGGCCCAGGCTGGCGAGCCTCACTCCAGGGACAGAGCAAACCTGCACGTCAAACACATTCCCGGAAAAGCAGTCATTTCTCAAGTTATCAGAATGTTAAAAATTAAATGAACCTTGGCACAGTTGATTTATCCATTGTTAGCAATATTCAAAGAAAAATATTTATACCAACTTTAATGGAGTTTCTCATGGTGTAGTCCATGGGGAGTTGCAATGATTGAGTCACTCTTTTCTGGTGGTTCAAACTTATCAATAAGTCCTTGAAAGACAGATAATTCAATTTAAAGTAGAACCTCTAGTATGAATTACAGCCTCAGAAACTGGCCATTGGGTCAATGAGTTGATTTGAGAAGGAGGGAACACATATTTTCCAAATAAAATAAAAAGTGTCATCAGGTAATAATACATTCAATATATCAAAAACATAGTTTTGCCTAAATGCAACCTGGAAGTTAAATAGTAACTGTGATTTAGAAGTATATGTAATTGCTAAAACAAACAAACAAACAAAACAAACAGTATATGTACATGCTGAGTGGTCACTTGGGGGGAAAAATACACACACACACACACACACACACACACACACACACACACACACTGAAGGCTGTGATCTTCAATAATAAGTGTTTGGGGATTCATTTTAAGTAAGAAAGATTGTATAATATGCATATTGCAGATTATATTAAGTTTACCTCCAATCTTCACAGTACATTTTTCTTCTTACAGTCCATGATTCTTCTTGAATGAATTTCTCAGCGTAAAGACTGAATAAGTCTGGTCAAAACAGTTAGTAAAAAATCAAACAGAAAGAGGTATATATTTTTTATAATTTTTGTTATTAAGGGTCAGAATACTTGAGTTCAATCCATACAATTATGCATTTTACTAACAGCAATGACAATCTTTTCCCTAATTGGTCACACTTAAGGGCTAGTATTTTTATTAATAATATAATAATAATGATGATGATGACGAAGCAGTAAGAAGTCAGACTCGGCCACACCCGTGTTATATTTATTCTTTTCAGAATCCTTAAGATGGATTGTAACAGTGACTGCAACAATGGACTCCAGTAAGTCCAAGATCATGAGGCTGGTGCAAGATAGTAGAAAGTTTTCATCTGTTGTTAAATGTTGTTAGAGTCCTATGAGTCACAGTTCACTAATTTCAACATTCTGTTGCAACACCTTCACGCCCCCCCTTTTTTTTTTAAATGGGAATAAATATAGATCTCTTTCACTCAGTTGACCAAGTAGCCTATCTTTCAGATTTTTGGTAGTGATCAGAGAGCAAATCCAGGGCTATCTCTATTTGTTGAAACATATCAATTACTAGCCTGTCAATTCCTGGGGCCTTACTTTTTTGCAGTGCAGCTTGAACTTCTTCCTTCATTACATTTGGTTCTTTATCTTCTGTTGTTTTCGTTAATGGTCCAGTGCTGTTAACCAATTTTTTATGCTTCAGTGACTCTGCATATTCCTTCCATTATCATGTTCTTTTGTTTCTATTTTTTTTATGCTGAGTGATCTAACTCAATCTCTTAATGACAAATACTGCATAAGACCATTATTGTAAAAATAGAAAGATAACTAGTAAATGGTGTGGGTATCCAAGGAGGGGAATGAGTAGAAACAGAGGGGTGAGGGTGAGTAGGGGTGAAACCAAAGGGTTGCACAGTTTGGTGGGTGGAGGGAGGGGGTGAAGGAAATGAGAAGGATCCAGGGGTAACCATAATAGATTGGTAGTGATGTGCTAGCTCCCATGGTGATTGATTTTATAAAACATATTACATGTAAATGATTGTATGAAACACAAGATGAATGAAGAATAGTGTTAAACACAATGTATATGAACCTTGTGAGCAAACTAATAAAAGATTTAAAAATTAAAAAGTAAAAAAGAGCTAATAATTTTTAGTGTGGCTTTCTTTATCTCAAATTGCTCAGACAATATACCCTTTCAATGGTAACTTGTAATTGTGTCCTGTAGACATCACTTCCTTAAGCTTAGCTGCCTGTGGACTCCATCGTGTTATTAGTTTTCTGAAGAGGTTTGAGATAATTGTCTGCAGCCCCAACTATGCTAGCTTGTTGTCTTTGAGTCAGAACTGACTCAAAGCTAAAACTCTATTGGGTTTCTGAGGCTGTAAATCAAATGGAAGAAGCCTTCAAACTCCCTTCAAACTAGTTTCAGTGACTGTAATGCTTTATAGTTTTCTGCCAAAACTCCTATGTTTAAATAATACTATTAAAAAAGAGAAGAGCAAACTTGGGGGGGGGGGGGCGGCGGAGAGGGAGCAGGGAGAAAACTGCAACAATGAATCAATGGAAATCCAAAATTTTTGTAAATGTTCATTAAAATTAATAAAAGATAAAAAATAATTTCATGGAGTTCAAAAGCAATACATGAGATTGAAAGAATTAAAAACATGGTTTTAAAGCACAATATTGTTGTTGTTGTTCTGTGCTAGCAAGTTGACTCTGACTCATAGCGACCCTATGTACAACAGCTCTGAACTTTGCTCTATTCTCAGCTATTTTTTGTTTTATTCTCAGCTAATTTGATCACCTTTGACACACCTACTCCCATTAGCCAGTCACTGGATCAGACCATCTTATCCAGGGTTTTCCTCTCTTGTATTGTCCCTCCACCCTGCCAAGCATGATGTCCCCCTCTCCAAGGATTGGTCCCTCCTGGCAACATGCCCAAAGTATGTCAGATTGAGAGTCAAAGTCCTTGTCGTCAAGGAGCAACCTGATTTCACTCTCTCTAGGATAAACCTGTTTGTTCTTTTAACAAATTCAGTATTCAGTACTCTTCTCCAGCACCATGACTCAAAGGCACCAATTCTTCTTCTTTCATCATTTGTTAATTTTCTGCTCTCTGATGCATGACAAGTAATTGTGAAGATCATGGCCTGGATCAGGCACACCTTGGTCTCTAGACTGACATCATTGCTCTTTAGTACACTCTACTAGTCCCTGACAGTAGATTTCCCAGTGCAATTCATCTTTTAATTTCCTGCCTGCTAGTGCCAACAGTGTTGATGTTGGAGAGAAGCAAGCTGAAGTTATTAAAAATCTCAGTCTCTTCTCTATCTCAAAGCTGTTAACTGGCCCAGCAATGAGAATAATTGTTTTCTTGATGTTGAGTTTCAATCCATATTGAAGCCTGAGGTCCTTGACCTTCTGCAGCAAATGCCTCAGGTCCTTCTCAGTTTCAGCAAGAAAGATTGTGTCATCTGCATAATGCAGGTTGTTGATGAATCTTCCTCCAATTCTGATACCCATTCCTCGTCATACAGACCAATCTTTTGGATGATATAAATTGAAAAGGTATGGAGATAGGATGCAGCTAGAAGTACACCTTTCCTGATTTTGAACCATGCAATGTTTCCTTGCTCTGTTTGATGACTGCTTCCTGGTCCAAGCAAAGGTTTCACATAAGCACAATCAAGTGTTCTGAAATTACCATTCTTCTCAGAGTCAGTCACAGTTTATTATGATCCACACAGTCATATGCCTTTGTATAGTCAATGAAACACAGATAGAAACTCCTCTGGTACTTTCTGCTTTAAGTTAAGATCCACCTAATATTGACTATTCAACAGCATATAAAAACAACAACATTGATGTAATGTCCTTAGTACTATGGTCTCTTATAAATACAGCCTGCACATTCCTATTAGAGCTTTGCAAACAATAGATTTTGAAATAAATTTTTACAGAATTTCTCTTACTTTTCTAAGAAATAATATATTGGACAAATTATGTTTTAATTTGTGTGAGTTCACTTATTTAAGAGAAAGTATAACTTTTATGTTGTTGCTATGTGCTGTCAAATTGTCACAGGCATATAATTGACCCTCCAGCAGGTTTTCAGAGATAATAAATCACAGTGGAGGAGACTCTAATATTTAACCC